GTTACTTCTATACTTATGGCACCTTTTTATCTCAACAGACAATGGCATGTTTGCATCAAAATAAAGTCACTTGTTCCAGTAGCAATGAGATGTCCTCCTCAATATGCAAAACTGGGCATAAGAATTTAAGGCATATAAACTGTAGGGATACCCTGGTAGAACTTGACACTTCGCTCTGGTAAAAGACCCATCGATCGTGTATGGAGATCACCACAGTATCGATATTATTGAATTAGGTGTTTCTAAAAATCGCACTCTAATACTGGTGATCAAAGCTAGAGCAGCAGAACTAGTTGAGGTTTCTTTCATTTCATTGAAACTTAGTTTCTGTAGGTGGAAGTTTATAACTTTATGAAAAACAGAATGAGATGGATCTAATAGTATTAAGGATGGATTTCATAAAATATTACAAGAAGTGCCAAAATGATATTCAGCAGTATATGATTATTTAAAGACAGGGCCTTTCTAGGACAGCATGCTGCCTAGTAAATACCTACTTAATCAATTTTTCCGCAAAGGCCCTTCGGCCGGTCGCCATTTTTATTTTCCTGACATGCAGTGCTATAACTCATGCCTAAATTATTTTCGTATATCATTTAAAATTATGATGTAATTAATACCTTATCAAATATTGTCAAATGATATAAGTTATTATTCCAATACATAAAAAAGGCAATACATATTTTAATTAAAGTGAAACAAAAGTCACGTCTGCTGGCTCTGTACATATGACCCACTTCTATCAGAGTGCACAGATCAGACTGACGTGCAGTTATTTGTCTGGTATAGGACGGGTTTTGATGCTATTTTCAGGATAGGTCAGAAATGGGATAACCTAAGTATGATAAAACGCTTATGGTGTACAGTGACCCGGATCACAATATGCACCCAAGAAGTTTTAAGGATTAATTCACCTTGGCCTGGTGCATCGAGTAGGGTACCCTCTCAACTACCGCATTTATCATTGCATTATAAATGGTCCTTGGCGTTGGTCATATTACAGTACAGGCCATATGGATTATGTCGTAATCACGGCATAGTAACTTGTAATTACGTCATAATATATGTTTCTAACGTACCCCTTTGTTTGCTTCTGTATTATAAGATATAATAGAAGATAATATTACAAATATAGGTCTTAAAAACCAGAAGGAAAACTGACACTGAACATTACGTGATCAATAAATTTACTGAGATTGTTAATGTATAGAGTTAAAAGAAGTAGGCCTACCGGTAGGCCTATTCGGTCTTTTATTTAATGATGCATGTAGCCTAAGTGTAATAAATGATCTGGTTTTTATTTCCCTCCTCCCCCATTAAAAAAGCGAATAATATCATAGTCATTTTCATTGTCATTTTGTGTGATGTTTTGGGATCCGGGACCATCTTCAGTTGTTTTGAATCTTACTAGACCGTAAATTTTCCTTGTTGTCAGCAAACTTGTAACAAAAATTTGACAAAGGTAATTAACTAGTAAAATCATATAAGTTAAACCTTTGCTAGTATTGTTGTGCTTTGAAGCCCATCCCTGTATAAAATGATGCGTTAATTTCAGCGTTATAGGCCTATACATTTTTTCAACCACGTCTTAAAACAGACTACTTAATTCACAATGATCAAAGATAGATTAAGTTACATGTACATACCGGTACATATGTCGTTTTTTTTATGCAGTCAGAATTCTTCTGTACATGAGCTGATAAAATATGAACGAAAATGTTCTCTTTGCTTAACATAATGATGGCCCTAAGTGATATGCTACTTGTCTTTATAGTAGGCCTAATGTTGTTAAGTGGGACCAATGGTAGGTTGCATATTGTGGACCTCTTGTGTTGTTACGACATGTAAACGAGCACTGATTACAGGGTTGGGCAGTAATGCATAACTTCCACAGGCACCGACTTTAATTGCTTTAAATTCATTAAAAATCAACGACCAACGCGTTCTTCATGAAAATAAAAAATCCACGTCTCGTATTTGTCATCGTCCCACACAAAAATCTCCTTTTAAAAAACCATCCACAAGTACTGAGGAAAACAACGAGAAAAACATCATGGAACGACCCAAGGTCACCTTAGCTCGCAAGTGACAATCCCCAGGTAGCCTATCCCGCGGTTCCTTTCGGAACAAACTTTGTCCCCATGACAACAACATACACAATGTCCAGGATGGTAGGCCTACTCATGACGTGGTATTTATCATTGGCATTTACTTCGTATTGTTTGCAATCACTACCCCAAATCAATGAAACTGATCTTCTTTGTCTGTTTCATGAATAAAGTCACCGCACGTTCTTATGAAAGGAAAGAGAAAAAAGTCTGATTTGTTTTGTTGATGATTGTTTTTTTTTGTAGTCTGAATCGGGAAGTTTGTAGAAATGTCCCTAAATCGTGAGAACCTCCGAATAGATCGGGAATTTGGACAGGTGTGCCTTTATTTGAGAGATTTTATCTTTTTTTTTTAAGTCTGAATTGGGAAAGCTTTGAAGGATATGTCGCCTGTAACTGAACCACGTATACGGCCATCCGATAAGTGTGTAAACAAAACCATTTAGTGCTCGAAAATTGTTATTATGGCATTATTAATATCCCTGCACCTTTGTAAGCCGGGGATCATGTTATCCCGCCCGTCCGTGCGTTTGTAGGCCTAATTTCTGCTGTATCCTCCTAGACCATTGGTATTGGAGATTGATGGACTCTTGGAATTAAATGAAACCTGTCAATTAATAATATTATTGACCCTCTACCAGGACTTATGTTCACTTTTCTGTAGTGAAAGAGAAAATTGTGTCATACATTAGCCCGGGGCATATCCGTGAAGATCAACTGTAATTCATTCTGCGACCCTGGTAGAGGATATATCTATTTCTTTGATATACCTATCATCAGGGGTGTGCATGGACCCTTAATCGCAATTTCACTGCTCCTAGAGGGGGAGGGGGCCCTGGAAGATGTTTGATATTATTATTATTATTCATTGTGTTTTCATCTATTTTCTTAGTGTGAGGAAATTGAATCTTTGGAGATTGATAGACCCATCATCAGGGATGCGATGTGTCCTTTGAACTTTTATTGTGTCCGCGGTAGGGACTGGTTCTGTGAATTTCTAATTATCTACATTATAATTTCTTGCGCTTCCACCCAGACGATTAGAGTGAGGAACTTGAAACATAGTTGATTATTAGTGAGTAACAGATGTACATAGGCCCTTCGAAATTTTAGTGTGTATGCATGTGGGTGGGACAGTCCATGCGGGGGATTCTTTTTCTTTTTTTCAGATAAGGGATGTTTTCTATGATACATTAAAATAGACATGGATGAATGCTGATTTCCTGTGTTTTAGTTATGGTTTTCAATTTCAAAAACAATATATAACCAGGCAGACGAGGGGGTCCGTAGAGATGAGCTACTTTTGACAATTTAGCGAAATGTCTATCCATCGACACCATCTGGTTATTATTGCTTTTCATTTATATTCCATTACATACTACTTGAGTAGGCCTAGAGAGACATAGAATATAATAACGAAATCACAATTTCAGATCCCCCCACACCCATTTTACATTCAAACATGAAGCTGGTGGCTACAGTAATTTTCCACGGAATGAGTGGTATCTAATATACTGAAAAATGACTACTTGGTAGGTTGAACACAATAGTTTATTTCAGCATTTTTGTTGAAACGGTCTTCTCTAATACCCCTGATACACTGTTTTCTCCGGCTCTAGTCACAATCTATTCGTGTCTCTCAGTAACTGTACTCACGCTCTCTACCTGGCAGATTCGTTCTTTCAGGTCTAGTTCCTTCAACTGCCTTCTCATTATTGCAGGGAGTTACATAGATGGGGGAGGCTGTACGAAATCTAATTGGGTAATCTTAGTTTGATGGACAGGTGATTCTGGTCACCTGACTTGTAATTATTTAATTACGACCGGTCTCTAGTAGACCTTCCAGTGGAAGAGACAGATGAACTGATTAGTTAATGTAACATCCTGGAAGTGCATGTTAAAAAGACTCATTATGTTGTCACATGCAAGAGTTAATTACTGGTGTCATGTTGCGAAGGTGCAATTAACTGGTTTGGATAGATTCCGACCTGATTGGCAAGTTTTCTTGTCTCAATCATCTATCACATGGAGTGGTCACCTACTTGTTAATTACTGTGCTAATTATATCTGTTCAGCTGATTGCATCTGACACCCGTTTACGGCACCTTGTTTTAGACTAGGATACCTACACACATTCATGTATGATANAATAGTAACTACTATACCTATGGCACCTTTCTATCTCAACAGACAATGGCATGTTTGCATCAAAATAAAGTCACCTGTTCCAGTAGCAATGAGATGTCCTCCTCAATATGCAAAACTGGGCATAAAAATTTAAGGTCTTTGAGGAAGTAAGCAAAGTGGGGGTAGGTCATGCAAAAAGGTAGAATAGGCATAAAAACTGTAGGGATACCCTGGTAGAACTTGACACATTGCTCTGGTAAAAGACCCATCGATCGTGTATGGAGATCACCACAGTATCGATATTATTGAATTAGGTGTTTCTAAAAATCGCACTCTAATACTGGTGATCAAAGCTAGAGCAGCAGAACTAGTAGAGGTTTCTTTCACTTCATTGAAACTAAGTTTCTGTAGGTGGAAGTTTATAACTTTATGAAAAACAGAATCAGATGGATCTAATAGTATTAAGGATGGATTTCATAAAATATTACAAGAAGTGCCAAAATGATATTCAGCAGTATATGATTATTTAAAGACAGGGCCTTTCTAGGACAGCATGCTGCCTAGTAAATACCTACTTAATCAATTTTTCCGCAAAGGCCCTTCGGCCGGTCGCCATTTTTATTTTCCTAACATGCAGTGCTATAACTCATACCTAAATTATTTTCGTATATCATTTAAAATTATGATGTAATTAATACCTTATCAAATATTGTCAAGTGATATAAGTTAATATTCCAATACATAAAGAAGCCAATACACATTTTAATTAAAGTGAAACAAAAGTCACGTCTGCTGGCTCTGTACATATGACCCACTTCTATCAGAGTGCACAGATCAGACTGACACTGCAGTCATTTGTCTGGTAGGACGGGTTTTGATGCAATCTGGATAGGCCAGAAATGGGATAACCTAAATATGATAAAATGCTGATGGTGTACACTGACCCGGATCACAATATGCACCCAAGAAGTTTTAAGGATTAATTCACCTTGGCCTGGTGCATCGAGTAGGGTACCCTCTCAACTACCGCATTTATCATTGCATTATGCCATTTATGGTCCTTGGCGTTGGTCATATTACAGTACAGGCCATGTGGATTATGTCGTAATCACGGCATAGTAACTTGTAATTACGTCGTAATATATGTTTCTAACGTACCACTTTGTTTGCTTCTGTATTATAAGATATAATAGAAGATAATAATACAAATTATAGGTTTTAAAAACCATATGGCAGAAGGAATTAAAACTGACACTGTTACGTGATCAATAAATTTACAGAGATTGTTTATGTAGCCTATCTATAGAGTTTAAAGAAGTACCGGTAGGCCTATTCGGTCTTTATTTACTGGTGCATGTAAGTGTAATAAATGTTCTGGTTTTTATTTCCCTACTCCCTCATAAAAAAAGCGAATAATATCATAGTCATTTTCATTGTCATTTTGTGTGATGTTTTCGGATCCGGGACCATCTTCAGTTGTTTTGAATCTTACTAGACCGTAAATTTTCCTTGATGTCAGTAAACTCATAACAAAAATTTGACAAAGGTAATTAACTAGTAAAATTATATAAGTTAAATCTTTGCTAGTATTGTTGTGCTTTGAAGCCCATCCCTGTATAAAATGATGCGTTAATTTCGGCGTTAGGCCTATTCATTTTTTCAACCATTTAAATCACAATGCTCAAAGATAGATTTAAGTTACATGTACATACCGGTACATATGTCGTTTTTTACGCATTCAGATTTCTTTTGTGCATGAGGTGATAGTGATAGAATATGAACGAAAAATGTCTCTTTGCCTGAGTGATATGCTACATGTACATGTCTTTATAGTAGGCCTAATGTTGTTAAGTGGGACCAATGGCAGGTTGCATACTGTGGACCTCTTGTGTTGTTACGACATGGGAACGAGTATGGGCGGCCCATACATGAGCACTGATTACAGGGTTGGGCAGTAATGCATAACTCCCACAGGCACCGACTTTAATTGCTTTAAATTCATTGAAAACGACCAACACGTTCTTCATGAAAATAAAAAACCCACGTCTCGTATTTGTCATCGTCCCACACAAAAATCTCCTTTTAAAAAACCATCCACGTACAAGTACTGAGGAAAACAACGAGAAAAACATCATGGAACGACCCAAGGTCACCTTAGCTCGCAAGTGACAATCCCCAGGTAGCCTATCCCGCGGTTCCTTTCAGAACAAACGTTATCCCCATGAAAACAACATACACAATGTCCAGGATGGTACTCATGACGTGGTATTTATCATTGGCAATTACTTCGTATTGTTTGCAATCACTACCCCAAATCAATGAAACTGATCTTCTTTGCCTGTTTCGTGAATAAAGTCACCGCACGTTCTTATGAAAGGAAAGAGAAAAAAGTCTGATTTGTTTTGTTGATGATTGTTTTTTTTTTTTTGTAGTCTGAATCGGGAAGTTTGTAGAAATGTCCCTAAATCGTGAGAACCCCCGAATAGATCGGGAATTTGGACAGGTGTGCCTTTATTTGAGAGATTTTATCTTTTTTTTAGTCTGAATTGGGAAAGCTTTGAAGGATATGTCGACTGTAACTGAACTACGTATACGGCCATCCGATAAGTGTGTAAACAAAACCATTTAGCGCTCGAAAAATTGTTATTATGGCATTATTAATATCCCTGCACCTTTGTAAGCCGGGGATCATGTTATCCTGCCCGTCCGTGCGTTTGTAGGCCTAATTTCTGCTGTATCCTCCTAGACCATTGGTATTGGAGATTGATGGACTCTTGGAATTAAATGAAACCTGTCAATTATTGACCCTCTGCCAGGACTTATGTTCACTTTTCTGTAGAGAAAGAGAAAATTGGGTCATACATTAGCCCGGGGCATATCCGTGAAAATCAACTGTAATTCATTCTGCGACCCTGGTAGAGGATATATCTAATTCTTTGATATACCTATCATCAGGGGTGTGCATGGACCCTTAATCGCAATTTCACTGCTCCTAGAGGGGGAGGGGTCCCTGGAAGATGTTTGATATTATTATTATTATTATTATTATTATTATTATTATTATTCATTGTGATTTCATCTATTTTCTTAGTGTGAGGAAATTGAATCTTTGGAGATTGATAGACCCATCATCAGGGATGCGATGTGTCCTTTGAACGTTTAGTGTATCCGCGGTAGGGACTGGTTCTGTGAATTTCTAATTATCTACATTATAATTTCTTGCGCCTCCACCCAGACGATTAGAGTGAGGAACTTGAAACATAGTTGATTATTAGTGAGTAACAGATGTACATAGGCCCTTCGAAATTTTAGTGTGTATGCATGTGGATGGGACAGTCCATGCGGGGGATTCTTTTTCTTTTTTTTTCAGATAAAGGATGTTTTCTATGATACATTAAAATAGACATGGATGAATGCTGATTTCTTGTGTTTTAGTTATGGTTTTCAATTTCAAAAACAATATATAACCAGGCAGACGAGGGGGTCCGTAGAGATGAGCTACTTTTGACAATTTAGCGAAATGTCTATCCATCGACACCATCTGGTTATTATTGCTTTTCATTTATATTCCATTACATACTACTTGAGTAGGCCTAGAGAGACATAGAATATAATAACGATTTCACAATTTCAGATCCCCCCACACCCATTTTACATTCAAACGTGAAGCTGGTGGCTACAGTTATTTTCCACGGAATGAGTGGTATCTAATATACTGAAAAATGACTACTTGGTGGGTTGAACACAATAGTTTATTTCAGCATTTTTGTTGAAACGGTCTTCTCTAATACCCCTGATACACTGTTTTCTCCGGCTCTAGTCACAATCTATTCGTGTCTCTCAGTAACTGTACTCACGCTCTCTACCTGGCAGATTCGTTCTTTCAGGTCTAGTTCCTTCAACTGCCTTCTCATTATTGCAGGGAGTTACATAGATGGGGGAGGCTGTACGAAATCTAATTGGGTAATCTTAGTTTGATGGACAGGTGATTCTGGTCACCTGACTTGTAATTATTTAATTACGACCGGTCTCTAGTAGACCTTCCAGTGGAAGAGACAGATGAACTGATTAGTTAATGTAACATCCTGGAAGTGCATGTTAAAAAGACTCATTATGTTGTCAGATGCAAGAGTTAATTACTGGTGTCATGTTGCGAAGGTGCAATTAACTGGTTTGAATAGATTCCGACCTGATTGGCAAGTTTTCTTGTCTCAATCATCTATCACATGGAGTGGTCACCTACTTGTTAATTACTGTGCTAATTATATCTGTTCAGCTGATTGCATCTGACACCTGTTTACGGCACCTTGTTTTAGACTAGGATACCTACACACATTCATAAATGCAATGAAGTATCTGTCTCCAGTATCTCTATGTATTTTGTATGCATTAAATAATAAATTGAAATTGGAATTGAACTGAATTATAAATTTGTAAATAAATGATCTAACATATACACCAGAAGTACAACTTGGATAGGATGAAAGACGAGTACGATTTCATTTTTGAGAGCCCTTTCTGCGTTGCTCTTTGTAGGCAATATATTTAACCGTATTTAATCGCCCAAAAGCACGTTTGATTTGTGCGTCTTTTTACTCCTCAAATATGAAATAAAGTTTTGGCCAATTTTCCGCATAAAGTATTCCTGACTTGTCTATACTTACAGCAGAAATGGCATGTTTATTGTTGTTGTATATAAGTGCGCCCAAGGGTCCGTTTGGCCCAAAGCTTAAGAATAAGGTAAAACTAGTGCTTTACTAAAAAAAAAAAAAAAAAAAAAAAAAAAAAAAGTACTAACGTATTCTTCCTTGATTTATTGTGGCAGGTAAGGTAGTCTGCCAGGAACCATAGTGCGTTCCCCATTACTTTGTACAGGTGACATTCGTCCCATATACCAACCCCAATACTCCGCTTAACCCTAGTCTATACTACTTATGTGGGACCCATTCCAAGGACTATACCATTCTGTCACACCGGTAGTTGTCACAAGTACTGGTGAGTGGAAGAATATTAATATTACATATCGGAACTCCAATGCGCATGATCCAAAGGCTCAGCTCTATTACACCCTATAAAGCACGAAATTTCCTCAAGTGGGCCAGTCGTACAGAACTCGCAAAATCAGAATGACGTATTGTCTGTCGCACCTGGCTACTAAAGCATTGTGGCCAGTAGTTATTTTAATCTTTCAGGTGTGGCAGGCAAGATGTAATGGACAGACTGCTGGTGTCAATCCGTTTAGTGGATGCCAGTCTAACGTCACAACACATGAAAACGGTTCGACGGCAGCCGAAGTCAGGTATGTTTTTTTATACTTATTACTATTTTAAATTAAATTCCATTTTTACCCTTGCAGTGTAACCTCTTCGACTACAGCGCTTAAATTACTTTGAGCACACTACAGACATTATATTGTTGTTATTTGTGACTTCATCGCCTTGCGATTATAGCTTCATATTATAACTGTATTATTTGTTGTAAGTGAATAGTTTTTATTTAAATCGAGATTCTTTTTTTAAATTCACGATTTGAAGAAATATACTCCCAAAAAAAGTAAGACTTTACTGGATAAAAGAACGCAAATGATTAAGACACCACGCACAGTGCTGGAACGATCGCGGCATACAATCCTTCTTCAAATATCAATCCTAATACCATATTTCCTATCACTTAGCGCTTTTTATTGCTGTGTGACGTTGCGTAACTCAACGTTTACGCCCATATGATCTGGTATGACATCTTAGGTCAACAAAGTCCATCACATTGAGATCTTATAGATTCAGTGTGACTTCCAATATTATCACATGGGCATAGGCACACTCTTATTCCAACTATGATTAATGAATTCACGTGAGTTGCCACATCAACCTTCCGAATCGCATAAACATCTACGTTGATTTTAATTCAAAGAAGACCTGAGGGTTAGAACAGGTTATGTCTTCATGTCAAATAAACCAAAGAATTCTGTGACCCTTTACTGCATCGTATTTGAACCACACAATCGAGTGTAAAACACCGCATGACGCCACTAGGTCTTTTCATTACAAGCATAGCGGTAATAGGCTTAGTATTAGAATTTTATTATTACTGTAGGTAATAAAGTATAGCTAGTAGAACACACATACAGAAACATACGATTTCCAACTGAAGCAAAAACCATGACAACATAAGTGCATAAGTTTCACATTCCGTCACTTATCCTTAGGGATCAGCGCAGGACTGCAAGATATGGGGTCAACTCAAAATGGACATCTACTGTGCAATTTGAAGGTCTTTCAGCGGATGTAAAATATAAACTTAGGAGTTGACATGAACGTAATCACTGAAAACTGCGCGAATTTTTATCGAACTAAACTACACAGCAATAGAGCGCATATCTTGACAGAGATATCCAGTTTTCTTTATGACGTAACGATTATCTTTATAATTATAGTTATCGTAGTTATTTTTATGGCGATTCTATTTTTTGCTAGCGGCGTTGCGTAGATCTTTTCAAGGATTTGCATATGATTATTATTATTGTTAATTATTTTTTATGTCAGAGTTGGAGTTGTCCCTACTGTACAGCTGGGAAATGCATTAGGACTGATCGTCGGATTTGGAGTATTTGCTGCTTTGGTAGCACTGGCTTTCTCCCTGGTGCGGCGGTTCGTGTATCATGACGCTGATAATTTGGATACGGCATTCGATGCGGGCGGAAAGGTGAGTTCCTTAAGTACATAGTTTGTGAGTTATTAAGTCAGTGTCAAATCAAAGTCACAGACATGTAAATCTAGGCCTATTTTAAGTACAAATTCAGACGAACGGCGTCGCAAACGACAATAACAAGCTCACATTTTCTGAAAATCATGTCGGTCTTATTCAAGGGAGAAAGCTCACGTTGTATATAGGCAGGGGCGGATCAAGGAATATTTGAAGGGGGGGAGGTTCGCAGATGCTAAGCCGACTCGAACCCACCCGATGCGCAGTAACTGTTAAATTTAATGATGTCTGCACCCATGCACTATTTATTCCGCGAATAGTAGACCGCATGCAAAATGAAGTCTTGCATTCATATATACTCTGGATTATCTACAATTGGCGATTAGCATTGATATGTTTTTCGTATAATGTAAGTTCACTGGTTTATAAAAATATTTTTGGAGTGTAGGATTGCATAATTAACACGCTCTTAATGTTAGCGAATGCAATCTAATGCTGGAAAGGGTTTTTTCAGAAAAGGGATCATTTCACTGTAATGTTTATCTATGTCAGTCATACAGTGTAGTCAAGAAAGTGAAAATATATCCATGGCACCAACGTTTGATTTATTTCCCTCGTTTAATTTTCTTAATTTGTGAACCGTTCGCTCGTAACCGTCATTAAAGTTGGCTGACGAAATTTGTAGATATGGTTTAGAAACCAGTCTTACTTTGGGCCAGAATTGCGGACTAAGCGTCATCTTGTTAAGGTCGTAGGCCTACTTTAATTTCTGTACGAAATATCCAGTGCACGCAGTACTTGGGAAACTTAGTAAGCCCCCATCAAATTAAAGTGTGGTTCCTATTTACCGCACTTCACTGCGTCATAGTGCTGTGTACAATAGATGACAACACATAAACATGTCTAGCCTATTTTTTTTTTGTCCCGATTTAGAGTTCTTACCTCCCTAGGGAGGCAACAGCCCAGCTGCTGTAGATAACATACGTGGTCCAATAACCTTTACCACCAGACCAGGTACTTAAACCAGGGAATAATCAGTTATATCGGATATATCCGATATAATTCCCTGCTTAAACTGACTAGACTCTCTTCAACCCTTATTGGTGCTGAGTGCCAAGTGGGCAGACACAGGGACCGTTAATCGAGGATTGGTATGTCCCAGGACGGGGTCGAGCCCACGTCCTCCCACTCTGCTGGCGGACAATGTCATCCAGTTGGTTTTTAATCAAAGCGATGGAACATATCAGCCCACAAGTACCACATATACTAGTACATGTATGTTCCTGTATTGAAGTATACTAAAATAGGGAAAGGGAAAGTGCATTTTCAGTAAGACATTTGAATAAATGAATAAAGTAGTTATAAATATGCTGCTATAGTTTCTTGACACATATGTATATCTTCGATGAAGGTTTTGATACGGGTTTGTAGATAAAATAGTGTTGACTTTATCTTCATCACAAACGTTCGAACTAACTTTTAAAACATTTTGTTCACTTTCAGTGGCGTTTTTTTATTATCATAATGCTACCGGTAGTTTAGCGGAATCTCAATTTACATATTAAAGGGGAAATTTAGCCTCAAAATAGCATCCCTATTTTATGAGACCGCAAAACCATCCGCGCTGCCCACTTGTCATTATCACTGTAACTGGTGATATATGAGCACTCGTCAGGCTTATGAATATTAATTAACTGGTTAATGACGTTATCGTTTGAGCCTTCTATGTCTCTTCTTGGAGGCACCAACCCTCAAGCTTCATCCCCGCGTCACCAGGCAATGAGAGAAAAGTACCTTACCTCACCATTACCTTATTTACTTATGCGCGGGTTGATTACACGGTAACGTCTTTTCGGGGTTCGGGCGTAGAAGTAGGATATATATTAATCCAGATTCCAGACGATAAAAGCTGTGAAAGCTGAGTCTGAGTAAATATATTCAAACTGAAAATCAGAATTTATTCATTTAAAGGTAGACTATGGCCTATTGTATTATGCAACGGACTAAATCTAGCACACGTTGTGTTGACCTGGTAGAAGGCTGGAACCGGATTGTGGGTGAGGGGGGCTTGGGAAGGTAATTGATGTTAAGTTCCACAAACAACCCCCGACAAACAATGATAATTTTTCATTCCGCAGCATAAAGCGACAAGCCAGCGTTAACAAATGTTGCCACTTAACAAAGAATAGCAGAAAAGAAGCCCTCCGACCTTTTTAACCAATATGGTGCCAGTAGTTGAGGTAGTATGTGACATGTGTTCTAAGATGATATTGTTGTATTACTCACTGGAATATTTTGTACTATGCATCCACACGACACGTGATGTCTTGGCCTAGATGAACCCCATTTGAAAATGTAAATTTTAATTTAAATTTTTTTTTAATTTTTCGTTTGTTAAACAACAGAATCATAGGGACCATTCCCACAGATATTTGGATCGATCTATCTCCCTGGGGAGTCTCACTAAATTGCTATCAAACTAACCGGCTTAAACGTCTGTCACGCCTAGTAAAGCTGTTAGGGGGTAATTATCTTTACCCCTAGCTGATTCGGTAGGCGTGACAGACATTTAAGCCGGCAAGTTGATAGCAATTTAGCAATTTAGGGAGTTAGACCGATCCAGATGGATCGATCTAGGCATGGGAACCCAGTCTTAGAGGGTGGAGGGGGTATTGGGCCTATATAGCTTCTTACGTATCCCCTATCTCCCCCTTCTTTCTCACATAAGAAAAGTGTCGAAATGAGACAACATCGAACGATTTTTCCATCCCTGTTCCTCACATATATAGTAAAATTGTCTTCGTCTACTGTTATATACTTGGATAAGAAAGCAAACCTTAATTAAGCAAACAGAAAAAATAACATCACTTGCGCATGTACCCCGACTAGCAATTGTACATTGTAGCAAAATATGTCCCTGCCCGTAAGTATATATCAAATTCGATGGTTTGCAGCCGCGTAACTCACCCCAAACATCCCCACTCCCACTCTTGGAACACGCAAGTGCATGTCCAGACCACCTGATCACACCGTGCATTTGGGTGAGTGTACCGGTAGTGTCTTCTGATATGTGACACGACCCAGATTTGGTCTTAATATGGTGTGACCCGTCCAATCGGTTTTCATGCGAAGATTTCTGGTGGATTTTAAGTAGCTGACCTTAAAAAAGAAAAAATAATTGCATTAGTGGGTCATTACATATCGTTTTAACGCTTGGCTGTTATCAACTTAACTAATTAAAGAGTGGGATGCTAAGCGCGTTTTTATACAAGACTTGTGAGCTATTAAATAGCTAGACTCAAGTACATGTATCGATGATGTATGTGTAAAACTTCGAGAAACAGACCGAGTTATATCACTTTCCCTTTGAAATTGACAAAAGATGGAGAGTAGGTCCCAATAAAACCAGTAATAAAAATTAAACTATTCGTGAACCTTATATTTTACTAAAGTCTGTGATAGTTTTTGCGGAAGACTAATAGTTGCCCTTGAAAATTTAAACGTTAGGTAAATGTACATATTAAGTAGAAGAATTTTACAATAGACAGTGGTTAACCCCCGTCAAGTTTTCATTAGCAACTGTATCGACCATCTTCGTCAGGACTGCGACGCAGGACGCGGTGCACCACAGCAATAAGTGAGCGCTGTGTGGGTTTCCTAGGCGTGACATATCGACTGCAAACAATTTTTTTCGGTTTTTCGATTATTCTACGACACATAAACGAAATTTCTGGTCCAGTGTTCAAAGCTTTGGTTCTTGGATGCTATAGTTGTATAGATTCTCTCTGTGTGTGCGCCATTTAGTATCTTTTTTTAAATACTATGGTCAACTCCTCTTTATGGCCAAAACTGCAATGGCGTATCTTGGATAGATATGAATTCAACAACTGTAAATTATGTTTTGTGTTTGGTAATTTATTATTTCAGGTATCAATTGGATTGACAGCTACAACTATTGTGTCACAATGGACGTGGTCGGCAACCTTGTTACAGTCAGCCACAGTCGCAAGCAAGGTAATGTATAAGTGTATATTAATTGTCAAAGAAATGTCAAAGAAATGTTATTACATTATGAATTCCACGAAATGGTATAGAAGTTTACATAAAGAAACCACCCGCAGCTAAAAAATATCGCACTAGTTCACTTTAAAAAATGACTACTGTTTGTTCATGGTCGTTGCCCCTTCGCACCTGAAACTTAAATTATTGAACCAAGAGAAAAGAACACTGAGACAAGCTTAAAAGATATCATGCAACTTCAGAATAAACCAAAGAAAAGTGCAACGGAGTGTATAGAGTAAGCACATAAAAGTATGTAGAATCATTGTGAAGTTGTCTGGGGCATAATGCCTTAAGGTAAATAGCCTTAACGACAGCGATTCTGCTCGCCTATATGTTAAACCTCGGTTGGAATGGCATACAATGTACTTTAAGATTTCTAGAGACATAGAGTTTACCTCTACACATGATGTGAAAAGCATATACACTAAGGTTATAACCTTTGTATTTTAATAAGTAGGTTTCGTGATGCGACAGATTACCCAGTAATAAAGATTTATTGCCAGTTTTAAAAAACTGGGTTTGGAACATAAATGAAAATTATCAAACACATGTCGAAAATCTTTCGTACCGTTAGCTTACTTGGGTTAGGATCATTTTTAGCTACCGTAATTTCCTACAACGCGTTTGATTCAAAAAAGTTTGAGTATTTGAGTAAAACATGCATGTCATCCCACTGATACATACCTGAATTTAGAAAGATAAATAAATAAGTGAATGCACACGACTGTTTGCTTCTCTAAATAATTTCTCTGTCGTCAACTTCTTGGCGTTGAATTTCGAATCTTTTTCTAAATATATTTCCTTCCTATTTTTGAGCACTGGCAAATAAGTTAATCAAAATTTCTGTCTCATTCTTACACGTTAATTTCTATTAAAAATCCATTTGCAAAGCAAAAATAGTACTGAAGGGGTTGCTGCTGGTTGGCATTGAGCCTTCCAGTTAGTTTACGATTGGAGCATTGGAAGCTCCAATGGAATCCAATGTTGATTCCTGCAGTCTTTAATCGTATGACATGGTAATCTATCATGAAATGCCTCATTTTACAAGGAAAATGGGGCAAAATAGAAAAAAAGTTATCATAAAAGCAAGCATTGTTGCATTTTCCATACGTTTTTATATTCTGTAACATATGAATTTCTTGGCAATGATAGACGAATTTGTTTTAACTTTTTAATCAGCAATTTGCCGAACTTTTAAAGAGGTAATTGTTATGATAGTTCACGCGCAATCGCGAAAGCGTGCGCGCGTGCACACACCACACACACACACGATGACACAGGATAGATGATTTTTTACATTTGTTTAATTATCCTTTTCTTTTTGAAGTACGGGATAAGCGGACCATTCTGGTATGCAGCTGGAGCCACAATCCAGGTTATTCTCTTCGCCATCCTTTCAATTGAGCTCAAAACTAAAGCGCCTGGCGCAAAGACATTTCTACAGGTGAGCAGAAAAATATTGAAAAACATGTTAATATGTTGAAATATTTATAAGTCTGGTTAAACGTCACTTCTGAAAAAAAAACAAGCATGAACTACTCCTACAGAATACCAATGATGGGGCTGCAATATAGTGAAACACAGGAAAACACATTGTTCAATTCCGCCCTTTAGATATAATTTCATTAGCAGCCTTCAAATTTGTTGGAGAGAATTCAAGTGCAGTGACACACGCCAGCAACGTAATCATTAATCTCACATCCTGCTCGGATTGGTGACACAGCATGTAGAACTGTAACCCCTTAATGTGCATTACTCTAGCAGTTAGTTCTGTTCCGTTACCTTGATGATTGTGTAATGGACATTGTTTAATGCAGGTATGTCAGTGGTTTTGTGAGAACTGTCTCAGCAGAAAAGACAAATATATGCCTATAGATTTCGAAATATTCCATATGAGCAAGAGTGTAGTGTCCTAATTTTGAGAAATAATACGCTCAAAATTAAATATTAATTTTATTACTTCGTAGCGTTAAAACGTTGTAAAATAATTAATAGTGTTGTGATGTATTGTCTGATTCCTTTTAAACGTTCCTTTTAAATGGCTCGATACCTCGCTTCACCGAAATCGGTCTCTGGCCAGATAATTCGCATACACCAGCTTTTTAACAGAAATATTTTTTATCCTCTGCGCGCAGGTCATCAAAGCTCGATTTGGAACAACCACCCATGTGACTTTCTGTGTATTTGCTGGCTTCACAAACCTCGTGGTAACGGCGTCGTTGCTGTTGGCCGGCACTGCGGTCCTCACCAGTTTGGTCCAGGGTCTAAGCCTGGAGTTGGCCTGCATGATTCTGTCGGCTGTCATAGGGGCCTACACCCTTATTGGTGGGCTAGGAGCTACTTTTTATGTCTCTTACTTCAACACTACCCTGATATTCTCAATGCTGCTTCTCCTGGTGATCGAAGTGTACTACAACCCGTATGAAAATTCGAGAAACCCCATTGGAAGTTCATCGAAAATGTACCAATTCCTGGACTGTATCAATGGTCCAAGTGGCAACGAAGAAAACAGTTATCTGACCTTTATATCCAGCGGAGGCTTGATGTTTGGTATCATCAACATAGTTGGTAACTTTGGCGCTGTATTTTGTGATCAGTCCTACTGGCAGAGCAGCATCGCAGCCAAACCCATTCAAGGAGTGTGGGGGTTCATCTCCGGGGGATTGACGTGGTTCGCTATTCCTTTCACCATGGCCACCACGATGGGATTGTCCTATCTCGCCCTCTCGGCAGATTCCGGCCAGGCATTGCTGACTCCAACGCAAATAGATCAAGGTGAATTTGAATTCTTATGTATACAAAGAAAGCAAGGGAAAAAAAGGAAGTTGTGATTTTGTCCAATTTTTAAAAAAGAAAAGTAGACGAAACGCGACATTTACATAAACAATTACTTTTAACGATAATTGCTACGGATTCAAAGGGAAACTAAAAGATTGTTTTGAAAGACAACGTTATGATCGGCTATGCACGATATGTCTAAAAGTGAAATACAAAAAGAAAAACAAACAGCGTGGTTTGAACAAGGCTTAAATAACGCTTTCACTTTCGATTTCAGGCCTCGTTCCACCTCTCGTTGCACAGAAACTGCTGGGCACAGCTGGCGAGTTTGTCATGCTGATGTTGATTCTGATGGCGGTGATGTCCACAGGTTCTGCAGAAGTTATCGCTGTAGCTTCCATCATTATATATGATATCTATAAAACTTACATTAATCCATACAGGTACTTAGTGCACCGCTAATTTTGTTTTGGTAGTATGTTGTATTTTGTCGTATTACACTATTAAGTTAATAAGATATGATTTTTTCATAGTCATGAATTAAATACATCAAATTACACTGATATCCATTAAAAGTATGACATTCAGATCTATTTGTGTAATTTGATAGAACTTACGACTTCGGCAGTAAATAATTTAAATGCCACACAGTTGATTAAAAAAACGTCAAATTTATTTTAAGGAAAGACATCCCTGAAAGCCACTGTGTCCTGTGCGGAAAAGACATGACGCATGAATGCACGTGCATTCCCGTCACCCAGTGCAGCGCGTGCCATGAGGATGTCCACGAGGCACACTCCACACACAAGTTGGGTGTCAAACCGTTCAACAAGTGCACAACCCATGGGCTGTACCGTGAATACTTGGCAATGCTGCTGAACTATAAAAGTTGGTGTATCCTCTGGGTGACTGCCTTCACTATTCCGTTGGTGCTTCTCTGCAACGCCGCCAGTCTCAATCTCAGCTGGCTTTACTTGTTCACCGGTGTTTTAATCGGCTCCACCGTCATCCCAATTAGTCTGTCTATCACTTGGTCCAGGATTAACGCGCCAGGGATGGTATCAGGTAGGCATATATATATTTATGATATCATATGATATTGTTATGATACAATTCCGTGGTCGAAACTCAGATATTAGTGCGTACCGAACAGATAAAGAAAAAAGTATAGATGAACTTAAGATATAGCCTGCCCCGAGAATACCGAAGAGAAAAAGAAATAAGTATAGAAATGTGCCGAGAATATCGAAGGCGTTTGATCTTATGATCTATAGATTTTCAATGAGAATTAAAAATTGTCCCAAGTGTTCTCAGATACATTACTTTATATTTTTTCTCTGTTGTTTCTTTTTTATACAAAACATTTTCTTTAAAAAAGGCCCTACTGCTTTTAGATGGTTGTTGCTTAAAAAATTTTATTGCTTGTAGGTGCCGTTTGTGGATGCATCTTGGGGTTAGGCTCATGGCTTGTAACGGCCTCTCAACACGAAGGTGGACTGAGTGACTTTATCCAAAATACCGGCAAAGAAGACAGCATGCTCGTAGGCAACTGTGTAGCTATCGGATCTGGAGGGATAATCTGCATCGTAGTCAGTCTCATCACAAACAGGCGGTTCAAAAGTGAAGACGCTGTCAAAGAATGGGAGAAGACGCGCAACGTTGACAACCCGCTCAATCCGTGGGTTCACCTGTACGAAGATCTACCCAGGGAGAAAAAAGACGAGCGACCATCCCACGAAGAATTCTTGAAGATCTTCCGCAGCGCAAAGATCACCGCCTACGTAGCTGGCATAATCTTGTCTGTTGTTCTCATCATCATATGGCCGGCCATAATGGCAGGGTTGAGGGTGTTGAATGAAACCATGTTCATTGGTTGGGCCTATGTGTCGCAGGTGTGGGCCTTCCTGGCAGCAGCTTTCATTATCAGCGTCCCACTGGTCCAGGAAATTTGGGGTATATGGAGGCAGTATAAACGCAACAAGGTGAAAGACATGCAGGAGGAAAAATACGCCGTACCTCCGCAAACTAAACTGTAGTAGTTGAGCATTGGTACGTTGATTTTCACACATTCAGACAAAACCGAAATAAGTTTAAAATTATTACAACGAAGTTAAAATGTAGATAAATCCATTACTAACGAATGTAAATAACTAGTATTAGAACAAGATGAAGCCAAACTAAGACTAAACATTCGATGGGATTTCCAAAATGAAAAGTACACTAAGCGTTCCATATCATGGTGTCAAATTTTTCAGTAACTTCAGATGGATGAGTTTTTTTGCTTGACTTAACTTGGTGGGGGGGGGGGGGGTATTTTTAGTAAATGAAAAAATACAAATGTAGGCCGTTTGGGTTAAACTGAAACGTAGTGTATTCAAGATCATTGGCATTTGTATCTGACGATCCAGCAGTAGACAAGGTGACGCGTACGTTAACTTACATGTATGTCTGCGACAAAGTTAGGAACGAAAAAGGAATGTTGTCCTCGTATCTGAGCTCGGGACGTTTTAATTAATCTTTCTGAAGGCAAACCAAGCTTTCTAGAGTATTCTATTACTAAAGTAATATATATGACGGGTGCAGTTGCAGTAGCTGATATACATACATATATATATACTACGAACTGTTTTATAATGTTAAATTTTTTGTTATTAAGTGCACTGCATAATATACATTGTCAAAATTCTGAGTGCGATAGTTTAAGAATGGGCCTCATAGTATAAGTGTCCGTGCAAAGGTGGACTGAATTTATGAGTCGAAGTAAGCACCAATCAGAATCGCAAAATATATACCTCATTTTCAGAATTTCGCCTATGCCTTATACAAAACAAAGTTTGTGCCTTTTTTATTTTTAATACAATAAACTTCTTTATTCAAATGTGAAATTGCTTTTTTAACTATTCAATTTTAAACTGTTTTGGTGAAGATATTGCATGTACATCTGAAACCTTATTTGATGTACATTGTACATTTCACGCGAGCTGCAAAATATATTAAATACTCATATATATATATAGAACAAGATGAAGCCAATTATATATATATATATATATATATATATATATATATATATATATATATATATATATAATCCAGATTAAAAAATGACTAGGTAAGATTAACATTTCCATATAACAGAATAAATATTAAGTGAATATCATCGTAAAAATATTAAAGATACACTATATGCTGTGTTTTATACCCTCTACCATGGTCACAGATTGATTTTTCACTAGATATTCACATATATGTCTTTGGCTAATTCATTGCATATTTCTCCCCCGTGAGAAAAGAGCACATAGTCAATCACTGACCCTGTTAGAGGGTAGCGAAAGTAGGAAATAAGCGGAAAATAGAGTAAAATAGGCCTACATTTTTTTCAAAATGTGACTTATGTCACCTTTTTTTTTATCTATCTATCTATCTATCTATCTATCTATCTATCAATGATGACTCCATTATATTTCACTCAGCCTCTATCAGACAAAAGCTTAATTGGTTATATAGTTTTCGTAATATTCCTGTGGCGATCAATTAAAAATCCTAGTCTAAAAACGAAATGCATTCTGGAGTTCCACCTGTAATCTTATAGAAAAGATGATCAATTTATTGATTAATTGCGGAATTACTTTTCTCATGGTGTTCCTTAATGTTGTGTCTTTAACCAACAGTGTATTGTAAATACATGTACGATCAAAATTCTGTCTGAATTATAACGCAGTTTGTTTAAAGTATTCTGATGTGCCCTTAATGCTCTGTGAATTTTGTCCAATTCAGATTTTTTTAAATGTGATGATCAAATTGATAGAGGCTGCAGCAGTCTGGAAAAGGAACCGGTACCCTTTATATAGAGGTTCTCCACTGCTTTCTCTATACCGTGCACGTGGGTGTAGTGGAATTCAGCGTTTTAGCGATGTAAATACATGTAAATACATGTAAATAGGCTGTTAACCGAAGGACTTAATATAAGCAAATTTCACTACAGTGCCAAGCTGGTCAAAATGTACTTTGTGCTTTGCCTAGTTTAAACTATACTAAAATAATGGATTTTGCTTCATAACAGAGGGAAAATGCATAAATTGGAGATCATAATATCTTCAGTAATAATAATCATGTCCACACTTATGTTTCAAATTTTTTTATCCAAAAACAAGTCGACTTTAATAACACGAGAAACCACTTTTTTTTTCACGCCACCAAAATAGTTCTGTACTTTTTAAGTCTTCTAGATATCAGGCTGTCTTTCACTCCTAAATCTATGCCTCATATCTCTTTTATAACATTTTCTAAAAATTAACTTGAATGCAGGAACGTTCTATATCACAGTTTGAAAACTGATATGGAGTCAAGAAAAATGTTAAGTAGAGCGAGAGTGAAAGCTCATTCAAAGCAGAACATTACAGGCACAAATGGAATGATGGCGCCCCGATGGCGCCCTCGTACACATTTTGTCTTTAGTTGCTCTTTACTAAAATAAGTTATCTTTCATCGGACAAAAATATTCAATGACAGAAAAAGACAAGCTTTCACTGTTTCCTCGTGGGCTCTAGTCTTAAACTTTAAGTCGAAATGAATTTATATTTTATATTTTATATCCTTTTATCCATAGCATCAGTGTTATACCTAGGTCATGTAACCGATCACCCCCTATAACCATTTCAATTACCTCAGGTATATATTTCCACGTGCTCAACTACCCGCATTATACTTGTATATGTAGTTAAATGACGTTTAATAGTGAATTGCCGCCTAATCTTTCTCTACGAATAAAGGTTGCCAAAAGAAAAAAAAACCCGAAGGCTTCAAAGCGTATAATTCGGTGCTGCATGTTTATAAAAAGCAACACAGCAATTACAAAGTTATTACGTCTAAACTTTTGTGAGCCAGAGGCACTGCCGTCACGAAATCATCAAAACAAAAATCACAGTAAATTAAACTTTATTCATATCTCATTGAAGATGCGAGACCGGCGAGTTGAAAATCGCCAATCACCGAGTATAATGACAGATCACGAAGGACAAGGAATAAAAAGCCGCATTTACGAGCCACGGGTTGCTTCACGGATCACGTTAGATAATATGTTTCACGCATATCGGGAGCGAGTGTCTTTCACGGGTAACGAAAAATACCCACTGGGAGCCTCTTCTGTCAAGTGTTAATTTTGTTGAATCGTAATGGCAGGTTTTTTGAAGGATTTTAATCTAAATTGTGGGGCGTTTTTTTTCTTCTCAAACATTTGTTCAGTGGAATCTTGCACGTAGGCCTACTTAAAGCCAAGTGGTGAAGGCGAGGAAGTGTTTTGGTAAAAAAAGTATGTGTGTGTCTATACCTTTTAATGTACTACAGACATCAGCTCTACTGTGATGCCTAAAGAAATCTCACGCAGGAACCTACGCACTAGCTATAATTAAAAAATTAATAAATAATAATAAAACAATGAAAATATTACAAATTTCAAAAACACACAGGCCAACACAACGCAAACGAACACAGAAACTTAATATTGTTTGCACGAATTTCATCTCGCGTCAAAACAGTTATCCTGGGGATTTGATTTTTTTAGGCCTACACAGTGGTGTTTTTACTCAACTTAAAAAAAGGGCATGAACTCTGGAACATAATGCTTATAAAATAACGGATAATCATATTCAATGATTTTGAACCAACGTGTCCTACACTCACCTGTTAATGTACATTACATTAAGAGGCATCTCACGTAAGCCCATACCCAGTCATTTCAAGGGGGGGGGGGTGAAAAAGTGGACCTTTAACCATGAAACCTTCGTGTGAATGGATCAAGTTTTACCCAGAGTAGACCTTTTTTCCAGCTAAAAGGACGGTTCGTTCGACCCCCCACCCCCAATGCTACAGGCCTGTCACGTAATAGACGACAACTTTAAAAGTAAACACTCGTTTTAAAAGTATATGTTGGAGTCCAAGTGCATTATGGAATTTTATCACTTTGTATTGGAAAAAGATGGCATCGTTGGATATTAATTTAGATTCTATCTATTTTGTTAAAAATGCACGTTGGCCTTACACATGAGAAAAATATCCACAGTGTGTGTGTGTGTGTGTGTGTGTGTGTGTGTGCGCGCGAGTGATCGAATGAAAATAAGGAAAACATAAGAACTGCGCATTGCGCTAGTAATGCCCGTTGCGACGCGATGTGCCGAAGAAAAGATTCGCACCTGCTGCAACAGTGAAAATAGTTCCAAGTTATATTCTTGCGAGATTTTGATAACATGAACATTAACAATCAAATCACAAGAAACACAATATTCCATAACTGAACAATAGTATCGATATATAAGCAAAACTGTGCAGTGCAGTGCAAGCAATTTTTATTATTTACTCAACTGATTATTAGAGTGATTTTTTGGGAAAGTGGAAGGTGAAAATGTTGTGCGGCCTCACCTGTGACGCTAAATATTAGTATTAAATTTTATCATAGAAGTATGATTTTATGCCCTTGACCATTCAAAAAAATTACAAGAAATAACCATTTTCAAGAGGTTGGCAAGTACGTTCATACTGTCAGTTAAGTGGAACTTAATGATGTTAAGAAATCACCCTGAGTTTCACAGTCCTTGTCTAATTCAATCTTGATTACTTTCATTGATCACACTATATTATATCGGATATCAATAGTGGCAATACTAAGTTACAAGACTGAAATACTACAATAATAGGGAGTCTAAAATCAAGGTTCCTTTAGTGGATCAAAAAAGGTTGCCAATGTACGAAATCCGTTGCTGTTGTATTCATGGGGGCGTCTCGATAGTCCGAAGGTTCATTGGTCCGAAGGTTCATTGGTCCGAAAAGTGGTAACGTTTTTATCGATTTTTTAATCAAGGGTTCATTGCTCCGAAGGTTCTATAGTGAACATTCGGACCAATGAACCTTCGGACTATTGAACCTTCGGACTATCGCTACGGCCCCGTATTCATACTGTAGAGCGACCTGCATTTGATACTTAGCCTCTGGATGCTGCTCACTCTTGAAAGCACTAGTACTAGATGTGAAACGTTCACTTCAAGTTCAGGTGAGTCTTGTTCTTGTGGGTAGATTTTATGCTTTGTGTTACTACTTAATGATGATATATTAGTACTGACCAGCACTTGATACAGATGCACTTGAAATGTGAGGACAGTTGACTGCCTTGCCCCTGTGAACAAAGGCGTGTAGTTGGTCAATTCCGTAAATTAATTTTACATAATTTTTCATTATATTATTATTTTATTTCAGAGAACATTTCATTGCAACTGAAAGTATGACTTGCTCCCAGGGAAGGGAGTCTGCA